TTATGTCTAAAATTCAAGCTGGTCACCAGAATTAATCAGGCTAAACGATCCTGCAAACGATTTCTTTCTTGATCATCATTCATGAATAATAATAAAGAGTAACATTTTTGGGTAAAGTGGAATTCAAACATATGCGATATGAAATTTCAAATACATTCTAATTTATTTGAAACTCTCAATATGTCTCGAAGTGAGACAGAAGAATTTATTTTTCTGCAATGTGAACAAGCCAATAGAGGAAAAAAAGTGATATCAAAAAGGTGCATTTCATCCATTCCAAGATTCTATCGCTCGTTTTCCATTCATTACGACGACAAATGCCAAAGTATATATTCATCGATGAGGTTAAATAATGATTTTGAATTTGCTTTATTTATAAGATTAATTGCTTCCCATGTTACCACAAACCTCATTCAAGCCACAATAGAAACATATAATATCGATTTAGAACTAAGAGATATGTGTATCTCTTCAGATTAATCTACATTTTAAAATAGGTCTGTCTTTATAATATTTCATTTCTTTTTAAATTAATATCGATACCAAACTAATCACTTTTAAACTGCCACTAAACGATGAAATTACACCGTCAGTTATTTTTTCTAGCTTTAAGCGGAATGGGATTTGATACGTGCCAGAAAAATCTGTAACGGACATTGTTGTGAAAACGAAATTGTTAATGTGGAAAAACCAAAGAAAATTATAGTATGTTAAAACAATTAAGGTATTTGTTGTATAAAGTATTTCCTAGATAAATGATTTATCACATTATGCGAAAAAAAGGAACTGTATAAAATGTTTTCTCACACCTAGTGTAATCAGTTATCCAATCTTCAAATCGTCTAAAAAGGAAGTCGAGTTTTATTCGTTACGAAATAAGAAAACCAAATTTTTCACAACAGACCTATCCATGAAAGAAGTATTGCATTTTTCGTTTGCTGAAGCAAGTATTGGAACTTCTTCCGCATAATTTTCAATCATTCGAAGAGAATGAACGATTGTGGGAAGTGCGGTAAAATCTGTGATTATTTCCTGAAAAGGAAAACATCAAAGTGGGACTTACTTCTCAAAATTTCACTTCAACTACTTCATAATCATAGTGATTGTCCCTGTCGCCTCTTCGAACTTTTTGGAATTTAAATTATAATAGAAGTCTTCTTTTCTGTTTGCCTATCTGTCCAGCTTTCAATGTTTCATTTGCGACGATCATTAACTGACAAAGAAACATATTCCGGGTAGGTTTCTTTGTCAGTCTCAGAAATCACATTATTCGTGATATCATTATTGTTTTAAAAATCCGTCATCTTCTATTTATATGAGTAAATCAAGAACCAAGAGTAGGGAAAACGATAAAAAATTATGAATCGTACACCAGAAAAGATAATTTGATGAAAAACGGAACTCTAAATGTTGTGGAGTTCCTCTTTTACTGTTGCCTCTTGATTTACTCTTTTTTTTCTCTTATTGCTTTTTCATTTTAAATTTGTGATTGTCGAAGTAATTAATTTTCGAAGAATAGCATAAATGCTCAAAAAACGGAATAAATTTAATTAAATAGGATTAGAATTAAATAAAATTATAATTTATTCTAAGAAACTTATAGGACATGCGAACTTTCAAGCGCTGTTTGTAAAGGCCCGACGATGAAGTACAGGTCAGATGCCTTATCATTAGGCACAGCAGCTCTGTTCAACAAATTTTCAATAATATTTAGCAATTTCCAAGCGAGAATACTGAGATAAGATGCTAGAGAGGAAAGAAGCTCTTCTTTGATGCCTTTATTTTTACTCGTTGCTTAGATTGATTGAGAGTGAGACTTTCGTTGGACACTGCAGCATGATTTCAAGTGCAACAATTCTATCACAACACGATTTAGTCAACTAGTAAGTAAGTAAGTAAGTAAGTACTTCCATTAGTTTAGATTATGCAAATATTAAGCAAATGATTGTTTGTAAGATCTTCAGCATTCCGTAGTTTCCTTCAAATTTTAATCGCTAATTGATGAAATTTTGTCGTTGGGAGTAATAGGACTTCCACTATGAAAGACGTAATTTTGTATATTAGAATTGCAAGAGTAAAGTTTATCTCTGTGAACTTCTTCCTTCAGTTAAATTCTATTGGAAACACATTTTAAATAATGTTTCGCCTATTTTCGAAAGCTATCTGAAATATTTTCTGTTGGATATTAATTTTCTTATAGTATGATACGATATTCCTCATCATACACAATGTTCTTTATTAAAATTCATCGATCCTGTCGTTGTTGTTATTGTTATTGAAAGGTTCTTTTTTTTGAAGAACATCCATTTCTGTTGGAAGAAAAGATACTCCCAGCACCGAATGCTTTTTGATTTGAACTGTATCTATTCAACAAACAAGTGGTTCTTCGATAGAGACAATGGATGATAAGTAAAATAAATCACTTATTTGTAGAAACTGCTGTCTTATTGTTTTGATATAATTAAAGGTAATTTAATCATCACTGAATTTATAATTTTTATGGTCATTTATTTTGCTGTAGAAAATGGCAGGTAATTTCTTTTTTTGTAAAGTAGCAGTTTTGAATAATAATTCTACTTTTGTGGAAGTATTTTAATTGCATTAATAAATACCTAATCGCTGACAACATTTTCTGGACTTATATATTCTCAGCGCACTGTAAGAGAAAAAAAGAACGTGCTCTTCACATTGAAATAATTCAGATGAAAACGTCATTATCAATCAAGATCAGAAAATGAAATCAGACTTCTTTTTTTTCCAAACATTAATATGAAGTAAATCTTTTACAGCACTCCTAAAATTGGGTCAGTGACAGTTATTGTCTAATTTGATGCATTCATTTGCTATGAGCACAAAAGTCGTAATTTTATACATTTGCTTGTTTATTAATAAGTTTGTTTGTTTATTAATAAGTTTGTTTATTAATAAGTTTGTTTATTAATAAGTTGTTTATTGTTTATTAATATATTTGTTTGTTTATTGATAAACAAACTGTTTATTAATAAGTTCCATGGATTTAATTGTTATTGTGTTTAAGATGTTACATATCAATTAGCTTGAAACCTACCGATTATACACTTAATGAGATTTGCAAAGCTTTATTTCAACCAGCTATCCCGTATTTAAAACTGTCCCTTTTATTTAAAACTGTCAAAAAAGCATTATTTAGCAAGAAAACTATGAAGAAGGAGTATTATCAAAAATAATAAAATTATCAGGGGGAATCAAACTTAGCATTAAAACTTGCTAAAATTCAGAACTGTGATGTTAGATAAGGAACGAATTGAAATTTCTTTGCTAGTTGTAATTAGTTGACAGGAAAAATTTTTTTCTTCTCGAATTATTCATTTGTAAGCCAATTATATTTGCACAGATCCATTCAGAAATTTCATCTATACAATTTGAATTTTATTTATTTTACAATTTTTTCCGTATCGGCTAGCTTTCAAATATTTGTTAACAAAATTTTCAAGGTGTAAGCCAAATGAAGCTTAAGATAAATTTATTTCAGAGAAGGGTAAGGGAGAGAGAGAGTCAGGTTAACAAACTGAAATGAATTTATATTTTCTGGAGCAAACTGCGAAACACAAAAGTATTGGTATTTGATAGGACGAATTCTTTGTTTTTAAAAACTCTTCAAAAAACAAAACCTCTCTTCACTACTTTTGATTCTCTTCAACTTGCAGCCAAGTTGAAGCAAAAGGGCCAGAATTACAATTTATTCTTGTTGATAAAAGAAGAAAATGTGATTTCATTGGGATGATTGCGATGATCTTTCCCTCTGCATTCATGTATCGGGAAATGATGAATTTCCATCGATATGTGCACAAATAATGCAACAACGACAACAATACTTTGTGTTATCTTATTTATCTCTAAAGTGATGTTAATTGCAGCATTGTGTTATTGCTACTTTCTCAAAGTTACTTATAATACTTTTCTCTTTCCTGAAGATAATAAATGAAACATTTCATTAGAAATTGTAATTGCTGGAAACGATGTGATAAGTTGAAATTGTTTTTGCTTCTCACCAAATCTCATATTGAAACACTCCCTGTCCAAATTTTCATCTTAGAGGTACTCTTAGATGTATCTCTTTGCTTCTAGACTAATTTGAATGCAGTAATTATTGAGTTTCTTTAACTTATTTTTTAAACCGATTCCGAATAAAAGCAAACAAATTTCATTATTGATTCCAACTATTGTCATGCTTTCTATCAGGAGTGTTGCGTAGAGAAAAATTTCTTGTTGATTGATTGAGATGGCTTAAAGGATTACATAACTATCATAAGAATTACCGATCGTTAAAAAAGTTATCATGTCAAGATGGAATGTAAAATTGAAATGATATGGTTCCAGAGCAAACAAATAGATGTACTGTTTTGTTTTGCTTAGTAAGGGAGAAATTCTTTGTCTTTCTCATGAATATGATCGCTTGACGGAACTTTACTGTAACATTTGTGTCGTAACTTATGTCGTTTCAGTAATGATCTCAGTAGTGGGGATGACAATGGATCCTCCTCCACAGCAAGCGCAAACATCCACTTCTAATATCGAACGTCCCTTGCGATTACTTGTCAAAGATCGTCTATTCACAATTGAATCGACAATTATTGCCAAACTTTCGCCTATATTTGCTGGAATTATGGTCTGTCCAGACAGTAACTCATCTAATACAGCTGATAGTGATGACCAGCCTTTAAGAGAAATTGTAGACGAAAGCAGCGAAGATATCGCTACATTTTTAAATTGTTGTAACGATGCTAATCTTATAGATGGTAAGTTTTCTCATCAGTTTTCTCTTTTTCTGTCAAAATTTGAGTTATTTCTTTAAGAGAATTAGAAAACAGAAAATGTCAAAAGTTCAATCTCCCTCTTAGAAGCAGAAGCTAAATAAATGATTTTGCAAAGTCATCATTAAATGTCCATAAATAAATCATTGATCACGAAATCTCAAAGAGAAGTTTACTCTACTAAAATGATAAAATAATTTATTTTAACGATGAGAGAACGAAATCCAAATTTGTTGCCTTGAAAAAGAATTTTCAATCAAGAAGATGCGTCTAATAACAACATCTTTACAAAACTAATTTGAATTTTTTCGTTTTTACTTCAGCTTATACCTTTAATTATATTTCGAAAGCCCTTTCACTTAGTCTAACTTTTGTAATAATATCTTTAACGAGCATTTTCCATTGACTCAAATTTCCTTCTCAAGTTAAGGCCCTAAGATTTATTTTTGTTACAAAGTCAAAATGCATAGATATCATTTTCCCACATATCATTTCTATTTCCTCTCACTATTTCTTCTTCTCCGGTAAAACATCGGACGATATTTACATTCAATAACGATACCACTCGTCGTTTTCTGCAATCAGTGACAGTATCTGTTCTAACGACCTGATCTGATTTTAGCTTTGCAAATTGCCATTAACTCTAACACATGGGCTTCTTCTCTTCAAACATTTAGTTTTCTCACCAGAAGGACAAAAATTAGTGAGTAAAGTTAAACATACATTATTAAAAAAAGTTAACAACAGAGTCATTTGAGACAAATTTGGTCCGTGTGGTATTTTAGAAAGCAATTTTGCGACAGTTCTTCGCTTATCGAGGAAATATCAAGTAAGCTCGTTGATTGAAGCTTGTGAAGAATTCATTTCCAGTAAATGCAATTTGGAGTAAGTTTCAATGATTGACTTCAATTTTTACATTCCCATCCCTCTTATGAAAAAATTTATTTAGTGAACACAATGTATTTGTAGCAGTACTGAACTGAAGCAGTACTTCCTGTACTGTAGCTAGTTTTTTTTTTTTCGTAGCATTACTTTCTGTACTGAGCACCTAGAACTAATATTCCATATAAATAGCTGATAAATGCTTAATTGTCGGGAATCTCAGAAAATAAAAGTAAAAGTTAAATTTTGGCTTGCCAGTTTTTCTGGGAATATGTTGGTTGTGCAGCAGGTTAATTCTGTTTTACTGATTATGTTGTAATGATCCAAACTAAAGTTCAACAAGTCAAGAGAGAGACAGAAGTATTAAAAGTAAGTATGAAAAAGCATCTTTCATCGATCATTGAATTTCAATTCCGTAACCGAGATATATGACAGTTTCCTTCAGAAGTAAATAAAAGTGGTGTTAAGATAAACAATCGTAGTTCTTTTCGTCACACAAGACTTCATATTATTAAACCTGCCATTATTTCCCAATGATATCTGTTTAAGTCATAAAATAAAAAGAATAAAAGAGTTAAAATCAAAAAAAAATAGCTAATCATAGTATCTACTTTAATTACATAGCTTTATAATGATTTTAATGACGTTAAATCGAAGTCTAAATTGAATTAGCTATTTTTTTTAGAAAAAAAACTATTGCATTTTTCCGTGAAATTTTCAGCCAAAGTAATCATTTATTATATTATGTTTCAAAAATCAGCAATAAATTGTCATTAGGTGAGTATATTCGTAGCATACCCTTTTTTAACCCTCATCGTTTCTTCATTTTAACTCATTTGTTTTTTGAAAATGACGAATAATTAAATTTTTTGAGCTCTTTTAAGATAGGAATAGTTTTGGAGAAAAAACTTAGTCTGGGAAAATAAGAAATTTCAGTTTCAATGTCGTATCGCATCCATAGACAGCTTTCGATTACTATTCCATGAAAAGTGATGAATGATACTAAGGACTCCATTTTTTTCTTAGTTATCACTTTTTATCATTTTCTATTCTATTTGGCATTATTCCTTAGTTTATATTGGATAATAGACGAAAATTTACCTTTCGTATTGATAGCGAAGCAGAGACTATGCCAAAGCAATTAAGTCCCATTGATGGAAGGTTAATTACACCTGGTTCTGTTGCTAATTTGATGAAAACGTGAAACGATTTGAAAGAAGTAAACAATACTTTTAGTGCATTAAAACCAGATCAAGTGGTAACATTATTGATTGTAAGCAATGAATATCATCTGTGTAAAGAAGTAATGGTCAAACTGATCACCCGGATCGCTTCTGAAGCCAAAAATGATTTAGCGCGTTTAAAGCTAAGCAGATTACTACCACCTCAAGTTAGTTATTCCTTCTTTTTCAATAATTTGACAATAATTATCAAAAGTTTTGAATCAAATCATTAAACGAATAATTGTTCAGCTCGCACTTCAGCCACTTAAGCAATTTTATGGCAGTCTTTTCAAGTTCTAAAATAAGTGAAATAAAAAAATTTTACCTTTTTTAATAAATTTCATCGTCCTTGATAATATTTCATTATCAACGACTGTTTTTACTGCAACCTTTTACCGAAGTATCTCATCATTTAAAGTTCCATTATGTAGACTCGCCCGAATATTTTCATATTTGAAAGTAAAAATTTATTTAGAATTACTTATATTTTTCCAAGAATTTTTCAGAAAACAGAAACCTAAAATTTAAAAAATTCTTTTAAAAAGTTCTTTTTTTCATTATTTTTGCAGTTACATGGTTCAATAGTAACAGCAAACTTAAATATTACCCAACTCAAAGAAATTGAGTCGATGAACGGTCATATGTTCAAGATGAACCGATCCGTAACGCTGTACAGACGGATGGCTTGTGAGATGTGTAAGAGAATTACGGATTCTGCATACTGTGGAGGTTAAATAATATTGAATATTTCTGTTTCCAGTAGTATTCATAATAATTAACTACAAATAATTTGCTTCCCTACTTAGCAAAGGAATCATTCATACATTAATTATTCAATTAATGGCTCATTTGCAGTTAATTCTTTTCAAATTTACAATTCCGTCTTGAGTTGATCTTGACTAGGTTTTTTCTGAAAATTAGTTACTCGCTTCTGAAGTGAAATTCTTTAATTTCTTTTTTTTCACCAAATAGTCACGGAATAGAAGGTATGTATGATCGACAATTGTACTGCAATTTGCTTCAAAGCTTTTCAAGCCTAAGCTTTGGTTTTCGCCTTTTCTTTAAGAACAAAACTTCTTGCGAAATTTTACATCGGAAATCATTAGCGAAAGTTTGCATTGATGAACTGCAATAAAATAGTGAATTGAGTTGAAAAATCTAACCGGATTCGAATGAAAATTATGAATTTCTTCTTGCAGGTTGCAAGAAAGCATTTTGCAAAAATCACTGGACCCGGAATAGGTGCGCAAGCAATTACGGACAGCATATGATAGATGAACTGCGACAAAATTTGGTTGAATTGGAATACGAATAGATGAAGCTTTATACTTTTTTCTTTTGTGAAATGAAATTCTTTGTACTGCTTATCTGTATTTATTCAATTTAAACATAGGGTGAAATTTGAACACTGATGAAATTATTCAGTTAGTGTTCCTGATTCCTAAACTATAAGATGCAGGAATGATTACCAAGATTAAAAATTTTTTAAATTCAAGGTCAATTTTTCCAATTTCTATTGTTTACTAATGCGCTTTTTGTTTCGTTTTTGCTTAACTTAGATTTATTGTGAATTGCATATCATTTAGCATTTCTCGCTTACTTTCAGGCTTTCAATTAAAATTCAAAATGAAATAATTTAGAAAAAGTATTCGCTAGAGCGACAACGCAAGCAAAAATTCGCATAAATTACTTGATTTCAGCTTTTGCGACTTTCTATTACAAAAATGGAAATTAAAAAATTAGAACAAGATTTACTGTCAGATTTTCAATGCCACAAGTCACTGTTTAGATTGGTATCTGTCATTTATTTAAACTTTTGTATTCACAGTATATACCCTTGTGAAAAATGTTGTCCCTATTTATACCTTAATTCATTTAAGGATTCGATCATTCTTGCTTTTGCAGATATTCCATTCGTTATCATTATTGAAATTGAAATTTTAGCTAAAGCAAATTAATTTACTTTCAATTTGTTGTTCTTCCCTTTAATTTAAAAAGGAACAAAAAGAAAATGAAGAGGAAATAGATTGAAATTAGTCATATTTTTCTACTCGCACGAAACATTCATTCCTAATTCATTGATTAACTGAAATGGTTTACTTTTCAATGGCAGTCAATGGCCGCCAATGTCATTTTTGAGGTTTAATGGAGAATATCGATAAATAAAACTGATTTCATTAAAAAAAATTGGTGTGTTGCGAGGAGCTGATAATGAAACATAGACTCTCTCGATCTCTTTTCTTATAATAACAGACTAATTTCTGAGGAAAAAGATATAATCTTAACTTTCTGATCTGATGACCTGATCTTAATTTCCAACTCTTATGCTGCTTATTACAAATTATCACCTCTCAAATTATCATCCTTTTCACTACACATCATTTTATTTCTCGATTTTCGCGACATTTCCTTTCAATCAAACATTGCAATATTTCCGTCTGCTACAATCTCTCTCCCTTTCTTTCTCTCTCTTTGGTTTTTCCCGCTTTCATATGTCAAATCGCGGAACGGATGAAATTTCCGTTGCCAATAATTGTGTTAAAATTCGACGATGTAGTCGAAGATGCTGCGAGAATTGTCACTTGACCTCATTTTGCACCTCTATCATCCATCGAACCAATGCTATTCCCGCAATGTCGCGAAGGAATATTTTATCATGTCCAATTGGTTTGATATTTTTTGAAATTAATTGAATTCTCTGAAAGCTGTCTTTCATGAGAAATAAGTGATTGTATTCGTTTATATAATATGATTTATATGCTTATGTACCATGATTGGACTGGGCTGCAATGTCAATCCACCTAGATTAATCCTTACATCAAATCTTGTCATTAAAATTACTTGTCATTAAAAACAGGATGGTTGATCAAGCAGTTTGATGTGACTTTAAACGCACGCAAAAGATAATCTCACATTTCTTACATGAATTTGAGCCAGGATGACCTCTTAACAAGCTACAGAAATTTTAAACAAGGATTTAAAAGTTTTAGGGTCACTTGTTATTTTTCTCTTCTTCTCAAAGTTATCTTTATCTCAACCTCCCTTGGATCTTCTATATATTTCTGCTATAAAAAATGATTCAACCCTGAATAATTCTTTCATATGGTGGGAAAAAGGCCAGAATATAACAGCCAATTTGATTGATTGATCACTTTTCTATTGATTTTGTTTTTCCTTTCCTCCCTAATTTTTTTTTGATCCGTCAACTAAAATTTGAAATCGAAATTGAAATTCCATTCTTTGTCTTTCGTTTCTCTCTAATCACTTACCTATAAAATTCCAGCAAGATTTAAACTTTGCGGCATCATTTGTAAATCTTTGAATTAATGGATACCAGAAATCACTTTGATATTAACTATAAGTTTTCCAGGTGGACAACATAGTCTCTACCTGTCTATTCTGGTCACGTTCATAATATTTTGGGCAAATTTTACGTATATTTAATTCTCTGGAAATACTTGAATTATTAAGATAATATGCAAAACGATCAGTACAATCGACGTAATTTATCATTATCACGATGGATCCGAAATTGGCTTAAGATTTCAACAGTGATCTGTGCCTTGGATGTTGTTTATACCATGCTTCGTCCATATACCTTACGGGGCAATACACTGGGAATTTTCTATGAATTATGTTAGTTTCTTCTCTATTTACACGTATATACAATTTATAAAACAGAAGAACCGACTAGTCTCTTCTGAACAAATTAGAGATTGAAAATGAATTTCTGAAAACTCACTGCAATATATACATTCCATAAAATAATCAATATGTAAAACAACCGCCTTACGTATATATCTGAAAGAAGGTGGTTTGAATATCGATTGATCTCGTGATTCAAGTCCTTCTGGAAGGTTATATTTTTCTATGAAACAACATTGCTGATACTTAAATCTTTAATTCCATTTTTACTCGGATAAATTGACCATGATGTCTACAATTTATTGATTCTATGAGAAAATTAGGAAATTGGAAATTTCGTTGAACTTTCCGCTTTTTGCACTGTCATGACGATGAAATAGGGCGGTGTGGTGGTTGAGTTGAACTTAAAAAACTATGAGAAAGGGTAATGCCTCCTCCTGAAGCTTCACTTTTCTAATTACAAGTGTTGAAATCGAAACCGAAAAGATGTTGGAGAGAGATACAGGAATGCATCTGCGCTATGCAGAAATTTTGTCTTACATCGAACATTAATAGGGATGGTTCCACTGGTGCCCATTATCCAGCATGATAATTTAAAAAATTATCATGCTGGATGAATATAAATAGGAAATTGATGTAAAATGAGAAAAAAAGTTATGAAATTATAATTTTAAATTTAATTTGTCACTGCAGGGAATATCTATAGTGACGTTGATCTGAGATATGCTACAACCAATGATATTGTTACAATGGCTACTGGACGCCTAATGATTATCGAGATAATCTTGAATATTGTTGCACTTTGTCTGGTAAGCCTTACTTACTTAGAAGTTGAGCTGTTTTAGATATAATGTCAGATTCCTTACAAAACATGCTAAAAATCTTCAGCTAGTCTGATCAAACCACTCAATGGTTGGCTCCTGAGGTAACATAATGAGTAATCAGTTCTTTCCAACCGAACATTCCAAGATGACCTATTGGCTTGAGCCAAGTTTAACAAAAGTAGGAAGCAAAATTATTGAAATCAACTGAATAACAATAATCTTTATTTAAATTCTCCTTCATAAGTTGGAAAAATTTTGGAAAAATTATAAGCTTTAAATCACAGTTTTTTCATTCTCAATATTTTTCACTTTTATTTGTTTTTGTTGGATTTACATTTGCACGAAGTTCCAGAAAAATAGAAATGAATTCGGAAGAGTTTACTGATCTTTTTCTCATATCCAAATTAACATTTTAGCGAACACGGATGCTCACGATGAGCGAAATTGGAAGAATTTCGAATTTATTGAAAGTTTTTAATTTACTTTAAACAGACAAATTGTAGAACTTGATTTATCAAAAAACATCAACTTGTTTTACAATTCATCAATACACCTTATTCTATGAAACCATAATTTAATTACAGTAGAAATTTGCAGAAGACGAATTCAATGTCGTTAAAGTTCACCTTTATGATTTTGAATCTCTCTCTCTCTCTCTTATTGGCGACCTTTTTACTAATTCAGTTCTTAATCTTTAACGCTTTTATCGATAATTTTTATGATGGATGTTGTCCATGGTCCAGTCTGCGACGAGTCTTTCTAGAGGGCCTTTTTAGAAGATTATTTCCAGAAACACTTGGAAATACTACTTCTGGCCAGTTAGTACTTCTGGCCAGTTGAAGAACTCTTCATAACTAATTCTCAGAGTTAAAATTTCTGAGAAATTGCAAGTTGTAAAGTTCAAAAAATTGTTTCGAATACATATTTAATAAACAAAAGCAAATAAAATTCGAAATAAAGAAGTTTTATTTTTTAAATTCGAAATAAGGAAGTTTTATTTTCCAGTGTCGATATTATCCCCGTCATGCCAAGTTAACTGCTTTCCTGACAAGTGCATTCGTCTTCTGGAAAACTCTTCTTTATATGACAATGTTTGTCGCGCCACCAAAAGGTTTGTTTTCCTTTTTTTTTCCTTTTAACTTTTCGAGCTAACCAGGAGGACAATTCACATGCTTCTCTATCGTTATCTATTATTAATTGCACAAAATGAATTTTAAGCAACGAAGATGATTCACTGATTATTAGGTTTGAGAAAAGGTTCGAGCATGCTTTCAAACTTTTGCTTAAATTAAGGCTATCGAATCATGCATGCTACACGTATAACCCTGCAATACAAATATCAAAGAACAGAAAAAGAGATTATAACCATTTCAGATCCATATTTACAATTGTTTCCAAATATAATTTTAACAATTTAATTAATTGTTTTCACTTTATTTTTCACACTTCAAAGCAACCATCCAATTAATTTTAATCTCATCAATTAGCTATCTCAGAAATAAAATGATATTTTACAGAATTTTTGTCCCTTCATTTCCATTCCTTTCACAAAGCTGTCATTTCTTCGTTTCCTCAATCGACAAACATTTCTTGAAATCCCATTTATTTCCGGAGCAAATCCTCAGCACGTTCAAATAAATGGCTTTTTTTATATTATCTTCAATAAAGCGGGAGATAAATTTATGTAATATGATAGACTATACTCATTACATTTCGCAATTCAACATCTTTCCGATAACCAACGAAAAATGCATAAGTGATTTTATTTGGTGCAATATTTTGCATTATTTCATTTTCAATACTTAATCCTGAACTTCAAATTTTCGTACAAAGCTCATTTATAGCACTTTCGGAGCAAAAAAAAAATCAAATATAAAATTTTGAGCTAATTTAGAAAGGGGTTCTGCTTTATCACCCTACTGAATGGTCAGCCAGAGGAATGGAAGACAAATTGTTGTCAAACCATAACTGTCACTTGTTTATCACTTAATCTGTCACTGAACTCGCTGATAAAAGTTTTTTTGATTTCGTTCGATGAAAGTTCCAACGGCGATAATTTGAGAGGCAGCAATCCTTTTCTATGTTAAATTTCGATTACTATGGAAAAATTCCTACTCATAGATCAGTCACAGGATATATATCGATCGAGAAAAACTGCCAAAGATTTTATTGTATCACTCAAATTTTCACTTTCAGATTAAATCCTTTTTTATACTTAAGAGAGAGAGAGAAAAATACGTTTGTTAGTTAAAATCAAAAATTTTGATACATTCATTGTTCATTGATATCTTTTGGGGGAAATTTATATCTTTTAATGGATAGGCTGATTGAAATACTGAGATGATAGCTTAGCCATTCTGAGGAAGCTATCAAACCACTCAGGTTAATAACTGGACTCATTTATAGAAGTACCAAATAAATAAGAAATAATTTAAAATGTCACCACTTTTCATTCAACTTTCGCTGCAACCATTATGTGTTTGAGGTTGAATAGTTCTACTATCAAGAGTTTAGTTATTACCGAAGGAAGTTTGACATTAAAGGATTTTTAATCAGCAGCGAATGTATGTATTGGAGACTTATATCGCTGGAAATACTGACCGATAAAAGACTGATAAAAGTGTAAATAATTGAAAAGAAATGAAGTGGTCGAAATAAATCGAAAGATTCAAGAATTGAAAGTCAAAAAGAAATTTTGTTTAATAATAACAAATGACTTGAATTAACTCATCAAAGGAAGAGAAGGGTACCCGAAACTTTTGCTTTGTTTTGATAATTCTTGAAACGCAAATATCCCTCGCAGTAATCAATGTTGATTATCAAAGCTTATGTCAAGAATCCCCTCAGTTCTGCGACATAATCTTTAAAGGCCTGTGGCATCCGATACTTGGTTGAATAGTTAGGTTAAGCTAGAAAAAGTAGGTGAAACATAGAAATATGACCGACCGGTATGACGTGAGCAATATCACTCTGACATTAAAATTGGTCGGTAGGAAAAAATTTGAAAGGTCTCTTTCTATCTCTAAGTGAGTTAAAAACGAATTTTTGTCTTCTTAAGCCTTTCGATCATAAAAAGATTGGAAAAGCACTGAACAATCTGTTCCACATATTTGACTTGCAAATTTTAGTTCACCACGGTGCATTCTTCCCCATCCTCATCCATATTTCAGGATCAGTTAATTATTTGGCTGAATCAGCTGGCATATGGAAGCGAGTCTTCATTTTCTGGCTTCCGGATCTTGTGTGGTGCTTTTTTCCACTGGCTATCATGGTGCATTTATGGAGTGAATTGATTGATCCGAATACATAATTGTGAATGGATTCCTGAATCCGTTGATCGAATTCCGAATTTCAAAATGCCTTATTACAATGATGTGTCCTTGTTGTCTCATTTTACCCGTTAGCATTGCTTTGCTATTAACTTCGTAAAAGTGAATATCTGATGAATGAATATTTTCAAACTAATTATAAGGACTGATTGTTGATTGCCTATTAGCAAATTATTAATTATAGTTGAAATTGCCACTCTAACTAAGCTATGAAATGGTGAGGAATAGTCCTATTGCTGCACTTATTTGTTTCTTACTTTGTCCATTTATGGTTTTTATTTGGTTTACAACACATTTTCACGTTGTTACTAATACATTTTTTGCCTTGCAATGAAACATTCCTAATTAGTATTTTACAGCACAAGCCTGAGCGTGCATTCATCTTTTCCTGTCGTGCAATGCATGCAGCTCATTCCTTGCCATTCATTCTTCACCTATCTTTTATTTCTTCCCTACTTCATTCGTTCTTATTTACATTCATTTTTGTTATGTGTTTGTTACAGGATGAGGTTGTAGTCACTTTTGCTGGGATGAATGAGGATCTGATATTTTCTCTGTCCTCTACTTTAGACTTCTTTTAAAGGAATTTGGACTGTAAGGAAAACTGTAAGGATGTAAGAATTGCATATTCCAAATTGTTATTTAAAAAGTGGAATTTTAGACTGACAGTTTCTTCTTCATGATTGTTATTCATATTCATCATTGAATATGTCTCAGTGTCTCAAACTCATGTGTTAGATTCGACATATGACAGTATGCTAATTATAATTTTATCAAACTGATCTCCACACTTAATTTTTTAACTCCTCCACAATAAACTAAAATAAGTAGCAATGATGATTCAGGAAGCATCAGGAACATCAGGATAACTGTCCCAAGCATCAGTGCCCAAACATAAACTAATTGTAAGGATACATAAAAAGACTAATGTTTGTTTCTCCTCACTGATGATGAGATTTTTAATTTTTTTCCAATTTTAACTGACGCAAAGATGAAATAGTGAATTTAAATTAAAACTCATGGCGCAAAAATAAAAGGTTGACAAATTTCATGTTTAATATTTATCAGTTGCAAGATATCGCACTACTACAGTTACGATATTGGAACTTCCCAATTGAGATGAAGTTAAATAATAAATTTTTTCAAATTTATTCTCTTTGTCCACTTTTATTGGTTGATGCATTATGAAAAAAAGAAAAAAAAGAGCATAACGGTAGGTTATACGTTCCCGAGCTTTTCTGACGAAACCGCAAAATTGTGAAATCAAATGACCTTTGTAGTGAAGTTTGATAATACATACAAGAAGAGTAAGTAGTTGTTATGCATAAAGCCGAAAAGATTATATTTGTTATTCTGATTTATTGAAATACATTAGTGATTATTTGTTAGTGATATATCTAAAATGAACATTACTGGGAAGAGAAGTCGTTGTAAGGAAGAAATAAAAAATTTTTAGATAAAGACTGGTAAAAATGTTGATTTAAAAAAGGAAATTTAAAGCAAGTGAACTGAAACGGAAAACTGAACCGGATAAACAAGTGTCAGATTAAAAGATGAACGTTTATTAAACAGATTTTAAAACAATATTGAAAAGATTCATAGCAGAACGTAGAAGTAATGCGGACTCTGAGGTATTTCAGAGCATTTTCGAATCCGATTCTAGACTACAGGACCCCTTTCAAATTTACCACTCTCAACATTCCTTTCGGAACAAGACCACATTTGATAATGCGTTTATTGTAACAAAGTTGCTGAGTGAAAATGATAGTTAGAAGGAAACCTGTTAGAAGAATGAAGACTACAGTTTGCAAAAAAATCCCATTTCGTAGTACCTCGCATGATACGCGTGACACTTCGGGTGATCCTATTTGATTCTTCTCGTTTCGCTCGAAAATCACCAGCTGAAAACATTTCTTGAATTTTGATTATTGCGTCACCATTATGTTTTATGACATAAAATGAATAAGTTTAATTTTGCTGGATTGATCGAAGTTTTTGATTTTTTTTTGGAGCCATGTTAAACTGTGCTTCTACTCTGTACGATTTTACCCACCACCCAACCTTTAGTCACCCAACAAACAAGTTACTCATTAAGCCAATGAAATGAATTCAACTTAACATGAAAATTTCAAAACCTGATCAGTAATAACATCTAATGTGAAACGATTGGCATTGGTGGAATTCGCTTCAGTACGAAACTTCTGAGAAAGAGAAAGAGGATTCATTTTTAGTTCGGATTCACTCAAGAATCGTTTTCGTCTGTAATTCATACGTTCCATTTCTAATACTGTAGATAGTTCAACGGCATCACGAACATCTTGGCTATTACCGGGATCGGTATTGTCTACAACGGATGCAATAACTGACAAAAACTTTGAGAAGAAATAAGAACTCAGTAGTGTCTCTTCCAAAGTCGTTTTCTAAAAATCCCTTTGCTTTTTCCTTGTCAACTAAGTGAAAAATCTAAAAGTTCTGTGAGTCTTACTTCCAATGTGATTTCTAATATCAGCCTGGTCTAGAACTATTTGCCATTCATAGTACCAAAACAAATCATCTGTCAGTGAATAAAGTAAAATAATCTGATCTATAGGTTCGATGCAGCTGTGTTGCTTAGTACAATAGCCAAGATCATCTTATCCCATTCCATACCTTCCGATCCATTAGAATCTACTTCAGGAGATTTAGTCATCGAAGTTGATTTATCAGGAACTGCTTTAGAATGTTCAGTAGTCGAAGTCGAAGTTGAAACAATTTCGCAATTGGGTGGCTGAAAAGAAATAAAAATAAGTTTAATATTTATTCAATGATTGCCTCACAAAACTTTTATTTTGCATTTATGAATCATTCAGCAGCTGCATTTTTTGTGCAAATGACGATAGCACTGTCTTTTTTCCGAAATTAGATATAAATGTTTTCCTGAACAAAAGGTTACAATAAGTATTGTATTTGGAAAATTTGTATGCCACGTGACTGGAAAAGCAGTATCACTAAAATTAAGGTTAGAAGGATTGATAGTGACAAGAAAAATGCTAAAATCAGCTTTTTGAGAACTAAAATCAAATACCGAAATGCCTTCACAGCCATTTTGCGCTTTATTGCATGATGTCACTTTGCACTGAAAACGAATGGTAAGCTGATCGGCAAATTTGAACGCTGGCACCACCGAATGTGCTACCGTGAGATCATCATTATAAATCAATGGTTCCATTAATGTGTGGTCAATGACACAGCTGGAAATATTTTTAAGTAATTGAACATCATCACTGACCACATAGCCAGGGACTAATTTGACAAGTTATAACATTTCTGAAAATTTTTATAAAGAAAACATTCATAATTATGAGTACTATAGATAAAGCTGAAGTAGAAAAATATGCTTAAATGAATCTTTTTTTTCTGTGGACTATTTATTGACTAAATGTAAAAGTACGATTCATGAAGCTGTTAATAAGTAAGTTATTTTCATCTTAGCAAAAGCCAACATCAAAAAATTTTTCATATATGTTAACTTCCACTGAATAAGGAATAAAACATGTTGGTTAAATTTCAAAGTTCAAACATGGATCTGTAAGGCATGATTAGGCTCTTTTCCCGAATAAATCAATCTTACCCCTGATTATCAACAAATTGGAAACTGGCACCATCAGATTTATGAACGAAGCATGAATGAATAAGCATACCGTACTCTTCTGGAAATTATAACTTTCTCAATTTCCGAATGACGATAAAATTATAGCGTAAAAACTGTTTCTCCTGAATTTAATGGGAAAAAATTTTGACTGAATAAAATAGCATAAAGTGTTTTTGCAGAAGGTGGATTAAAAATGAATCCAAGTTCACCAATTGAACTCAGTTAAGTTGAGATTTGAAGTGCAAAAGAAAGGAATAAATTTAAAAAAAAGAAAATGAAATTTATAAAACCACTTGAACGAAAATGGAAACGAAACTAGATCTCTAGGTTTCATTAAACAAAAACAAAAACGAATAAATCCTAACGTTCATTTAATAAATCTTTTTGGAATAACAAATGTTGCTTAGATCAAATTTTTTCTTGTGGCAATTCGGCTAGACATCAGGAATAGTAAGAATAGCATCTCAGAAACAGTTTCGTGGTATGCGAGGTGCCAGTAATTTCACACACCTGATTCACAGCTCCATTTGTGGACTAGCTGATCGCCAACATTTGCGTATTTTATCGGTTCGCCGTCTACCGAATTCATCAGCACCTCGTAGGCACAATTACTTACGATTCCGCCTTCCAGTTCTGTCCTTGTTAAACCACTGATTAAAAATAAAAATTCAATTAGCACATTTGATTATAATCTGCTTTTATCTAAAATGAGCTAAACTGAATGGCAACAAACGGAAAGGGAACAATTCCAGTTTTGAAGAACAAGAGAATAAAGTTTCGCTGAACTTTCAAATTGATCAGCCTTGGTTCTATTCTGTTCTATTTTGCTGAACCTGACAATATTATCAGCAAGAGATCCTGCTGACACTTAGAATTTTGAGACCTTCCTGATCTATATTTACCCCTACTTGAAATTGCATTACCTGACTTCCATGTTAAAGTCGAAGCCGCTCTGATAGAAGCAGCTAGCACTATATGCACTATACGCTTGTGTTAGAAATAAATAGTGATGTTGAACGATGACAACTATGTGACAGCTGATACCTGATGGTTCTCTCTGCAATATACTGTACAAATTGCTTGTCTAATGCTGCTTTCTTGAAGATTACTTCATTTTAAGCTATTCAAAAGGCACTTAAGCGAAGATTTTAACTCCTTTGGAACTCATATTACTTTATTCTCAGTAGTCATATTTTAAATGTTCCGTCTAAATTGACTATTACCT